GCCAACAAACAGCACTTCTGGAAATAACCATGACCTTTATGCCCGACAGTCTCTGTTGTGTTTGTCTGTGTTCCCATCCTTAATTTGAACTTTAGTTAAAATCTTGTCCATGACAGGAGAAATGTCATGTAGGCAGAATTGTGAAAAACGAACCTTTGGCTTATATGTTTAGCATTTATCTGTTTCAGTATGCTGACGGGTGAATACTGTCACCTCACTAAAATATATTGTTCTCTCTAATCTGGAGACTGTCCTTTATTTATCTGTGTCAGATGGGGGCCAGGGGCTGATTGATCTCCACAGTTGCAAAACAGCTTTTTGTCTTCAGACTGCACAGCGTCTGCTTTACACTGAAACAACATCGGTGCTCCTCTGTAGAGTGAAGAACCTGGACTATGACAAGCACTCGTTTCTCCTGGAGCTGGCTGGTGTAGACATATCACAGACGTACTGTTTCTACCTGTCTGTTCTCCATGCATTGAGCACATGTTAATGTAGGTGAGTAGCATCTGTCTCTCAATCCACTTGTACAGGGTAGGTTTGCTCAACTTTGTCAGTGTGCAGATGAACCTCATCTGGCAGGTTTGACATGGGCAGGGCAGTGAGAAAACTACTGTCATGCTGAGTGAAGAAACTGGTATTAAGCCTCTGGTTTTCTTGGAGAAACTAATGGAAGAGGTGATGGGTGGTCTTCCAGGCCTTTTTCGAGTGGCACTGGGGTCACAGGCTGCACAGGGCCGACCAGTGAGGTGGCCTGATTTTCCATCTTTGTCAAAATGTAGTGCAGTACAGGAACAGGAAGAAGACAGTGGCGCTCTTCTATCCTTTACAGCCACCAGACTTTCCTACAGTATCAAAGAATGCTGTAATTGTGAAGGTTCTCATCAGAACATCATTAGCTGGTATTCTGCAGTCAAGGTGGTCAGGGGCGTTGGTCCTGGATTCCTTTCCCAGAGACAACAGCTGGAGGTCCCTGTACAAACCTCAAATAGAGAAACAGTGTAGCTCTCCAGTAGAGTGGTGCGTGGGGCTGTTGCTACAAACAGGTATGTGGCACATATAGACCTTAGAGCAGGAAGTCAGTGTGCGTTTTGTGTATCTGAAGAAACTTTACACCTGTGGCTCAGCTGTTCCAGGTTGATTCCTCTCTTTTCTCTGCTAAAGCAATGGTTGAATGGTCTGGGACAGGTGTTGGATGACACGATCTATATATTCGGTCCCAGATACAGTACCATGCAGCGTAGATGGATCTGTTAATCTCCTAATTTTTTTTAATAGGTCAGGCAAAAAGGAGCATTTGGCTCACTAGGAGGAACAAAATGAAGGAGAGAGGGTGTTCAGATGCTGAGCTGTTGTTCAGGGCTCTGGTGTCTGCACATCTCAAAGTAGAATTTACAAATTATAAAAATGGAGTTAGTTTCTATCTGGGGATTTGGAAATATTTTATGTAGTGAGCACCAGTCACATCACACTGGTATGTCCTCCTGATTTTCTCATAATAAAACTGAAATTTGAAGTCTGTTTCTGCCCCTCTTGTTCTCTTTCTGATATGTGTTCAGCTAGACAGCTCAATGGACTCAGCAAGGAGCCTTTGCCTATATCAAGCCCTTCAAACCCAGAGCGAGTGTCAGAGTCCACGGCAACAGATGAAGAAAGGTCAAATATGAAAGAGACTGTCTGCAGTTACATTTCATGTTTTTACTCAAAGTCAGTTTCAGTGCAGAACATGATCATTGATCACCTCTACATCAGTTTTTAACAGAATTAGACCTAGCATGAGATCTTAGATGAGTTTAATTTTTTTTTACTGTGTTAATTTGAATATCTACTTTAAGAAGTGCCTCAACAGACCTCCCTAAGTCACACAT